TCCACGAACCTATGGTCACCTTATCTTCGACAAAGGAGGCAAGGATATACAATGGAAAAAAGACAACCTCTTTAACAAGTGGTGCTGGGAAAACTGGTCAACCACCTGTAAAAGAATGAAACTAGAACACTTTCTAACACCATACACAAAAATAAACTCAAAATGGATTAAAGATCTAAATGTAAGACCAGAAACTATAAAACTCCTAGAGGAGAACATAGGCAAAACACTCTCCGACATAAATCACAGCAGGATCCTCTATGACCCACCTCCCAGAATATTGGAAATAAAAGCAAAAATAAACAAATGGGACCTAATGAAACTTAAAATGCAGTTTTCCAAAGGAAACTATAAGCAAGGTGAAAAGACAGCCCTCAGATTGGGAGAAAATAATAGCAAATGAAGCAACAAAGGATTAATTTCAAAAATATACAAGCAACTCCTGCAGCTCAATTCCAGAAAAATAAATGACTCAATCAAAAAATGGGCCAGAGAACTAAACAGACATTTCTCCAAAGAAGACATACAGATGAAAATACAGTTTTATTGTAAGGGTAGATGTAGAGCTCAATGGGACAGAATTGAGAGTTCATAAATAAGCTCATTTGTTTATGGTTCATGGATGTTTTTCAAGGTGCTAGATCCACACGGAAGGAATAAATCCACTTTTCAACAATTGGTGCTGAGAGAAGGGGGATCCACCTACGAAAAAAATGTGAGGTTACACCATTTCCTCAGAACATCCACAAAAATTAATTCATAGTAGAAAATGTTCATGACTTTGCTTTAGACAATATTTTCCCAAATACAACACCAAAGCCTAATCCATGAAAGGAAAAAAAAAATCAATACAGTATAATTTATCAAAATTTAAAACTGTTTTCACATATCCTTGCAGTGGAATCCTGGTTAGGAATAAAAAGAAAAGAATGACAAACCTGTGGTACAGCATGGATCAAGGAAATAAGTCATGTGACTCCTTTTCTATGCCATTTCCAGGAAAGGCAAATCAGTAGAGATGGGAAGGAGAGCAATGACTGCATGGGAGTGGGCTGGGAAATCAGGGATTAACTGTAGGTGGGCAGAGGTCATCTTCCTGAGTGATGGAAATGTTCCAAAACTGGACTGTGATGACGGCTACATGACTTACGAAACTGACTGGCTTTATGGTATTCAAATTACACTTCAGTGAAGTTGAACAGTGCTTCTTTCCAGTGTTGGAATTTTTAATCAACTCCTTCCCTCTTTGGCAGCTCCTCTTGCATCCAAACCACTATTTTCACTCATTTTATTCCTACAAAATTCTAGACCTTGTTTAACATTGGTCAAGTAACACTCAAGGTAAAAACTATTTGGTCAGTTTCCTGGAGTCAACCCTGGCTCTCTGAGACAAGGAAGAAGACCTTCTGTTCAGCAGGTTCTGGGCCTCACATCATGGGGGAGTCACTCTTCCTCTGAGGAAACACTTGGAGTTGTGGGTATAAAACACCTTGCTCCCTACCTCCATTGAAATGCAATGCAACAGGCACCCAGGCCAACTTCCTTTCTTTCCCCAGGAAGAGATCTTTCTGGTTTTACCCAGGATTCCACAGGACACTGCTCAGCAAAGACCCCTTTCAGACTTTCCCTCATCCCCAAGACACACCATCTGCAGGTCTGAGGGCTGCCACTGCAGCTGGCTAAAATCTTGGCTTTCTCTGTCCACTGAAGACAAATAAAAAACATGGAGACAGAGTGTGGAGGCAATAGAAAGGTGGCTTTAATTCTCAGCCAGCAGAGAGGGGAACAAAGTAGGCTCATGCCTCAAAAACTGAGCCCCCTGTCCATGAGGAATCTAGGGGCTGATATAAGATGAGGGCTCCCAGTCAGGAGTCAGTGATGAGGAACAAAGGTGTTAGGATCTTGATTTCTTCCTCTCAAAGTCAGTCATAGACTGGCATCAGTAACCCATTAATTGAGCCTGGCAGTTTGGAGACTCTGTGGCCTTCTTTCTGATCAGTAACTACAAGAGGAAGGGAGTTATAAGGGTAAACACCAGATACATGATGTATTTAGCATAGAGTCAAAGAAAAATAGGTGTGAAGTATAGCTCCTATGGGCTTCCCTGGTAGCTCAGCTGGTAAAGAATCCACCTGCAATGCAGGAGACCCCAGTTCTATTCCTGGGTCGAGAAGATCCACTGGAGAAGGGATAGGCTACCCACTCCAGTATTCTGGTCTGGAGAATTCCATGGACTATACATACAGTCCTTGGAGTTGCAAAGAGTCGGACTCAGTGACTTTCACACTTTCATAGCTCCTGTAGAGTTATGGAGCAGGAAAGCAGTCTTAGTTACAGACATACAGAGTTAGGAGCAGTTAAAGTTAAAAAAGTAGGAATGTTTAGGCCTGGTTCCTGTTCTCTTTACATTCTTTCTTCTCAGGAATGGGGCGGCGGGGGGGAACTCATTCTTCTTGTTTTCCTTTTTGCTACAACACTACCACCCAGCCTCATCACAGTCACCTCCCACAGAAGGAACCCAGCTTCCCAAAGCCCCAAACCTCCCTGGCTCAGGCACCAACACTTGAGTTCTCCTCCTGGAGCCTCTCTGCCCCACCCCTTGTTTCCTTGTTCTGTGGGACTAGGGGATGTCTCTACACCTTCCTCATGTGACTTTGGCTCCTAGACCATCACTCTAGGTTTGGGGGTGTTCTGCTTCTCCTACTGTCCCCACTGCTAACAAGGGCCTTCCACAGAGCAGAGACTCCATGAAGTTCTGGGGAATAAATAAGCCAGTGAGCAAGGTGCTTAATAACTCAGGCAAATTTTATCCTACTTTCTTCAATAACTCATGCAAATCCAACAAAACACAGATATTTTAGTTTTATAGAATGACAGAGAAGAAGACAAAAGATTTTAGAATTAACTTAAATTTTTTATTCTTTATTTCCTTTTATTTTTTCCTTATGTCCAGTTGTTTTGGGGATCTTATTTCCCTAACCAGGGATCAAACCTGGGCCCCAGCAGTGAAAGCACTGAGTCCTAACAGCTGCATTGTGAGGGAATTCCCAGTTTCACTATTTCTTGACTCCCATCACTTTTATTAAGTTCTTTCTCATTTCCGAGAAAATTTCTATTCCAATGAAATGTTAGCTTGTTCAGGGTCACAAAATAAAATACAATCTCTCTTACAAAACAGCAAAATTCCTATCCTTAAACTAAGTAAGTACCAATACAAGTGCAATCAATGGCATTCAAAAAGTTAGATCCTGAATTTAAGACTTTAGATGAAAAAAATAACATTTCACAAATTCCTAAAGAAAACAGAGATGAATCTCCATGTCACCGTGGAAAGAAGGAACCCAAAGATGCTACACACTGTGTCCCCACAACTGGCCCAGGCCCTCACGACTGAGAAGGCTGACTGCTCCCTCTTCAATCATGGAAGGAAGGATCAGCCTCCCTTCCTGCCCCCAGGACAAGCTGTTGGACGTAGGCCTGGAAAGAGCTTGGCTGCTGCTCTGGCTCAGGGCCCCACTTCCTCCTCCCTCGCAGCCTTTGAAGATGGGAGTGGGAAGGACCTGGAAGCCCCTTGATTGATTCTGAGCAGATGCTCTAGGACGTGCCACTTGCTGGTCTCTGCATAGGCCCGGGGACCCCACAGGAACTCGTAGTGAACAGGGTCACTGTGGGGAACCATCTGGTACTCCAGGTACCCCTCCTGCACCCACATTTGGGTCAGCAGCTTCCTGGGCTCCCCATAGGTGTAGTGCTCCCTCCCAGCATATACACCCATGTTGTTCAGGGTTTCCCAGATCTCCTCCTCAAGGGCACAGTTGCCCTCCAGAAGGATCATGCCTAGAACCACCACCAGGAAGCTGGTCTTCGGCATGCTGTGCCCATCGCTCACCATCCCATTGCAGGTGAGGCCCAGGGTGGGGACTAGCATGTAGGTGTGCTTCGTGTGGTCCACCTCCCTCACATCCACACCGAAAACCAGCTGCAGGCAGTCTGAGGCTTGGCGAAAGGCCTCAGGGAAGTGGTGCCCGTCTTCTTTGAGGACCATGTTCAGGATCTCATCCTTCGTGGTCGGCTCCTTGGTGTGATACTTGAGGAGCAGGAAGTGTACCAGCTCCACCACCAGCAGATGCAGTGAGTCTGGGTGCATGGACTTGGCACCTTCCTGGTCCTGCCCAGTACTCGGCCCCTCCTCATCTTGGCTGCTAGAGGCCTCATCTTCGGATTGGCTCCATGGAGCGGGAGCCATGGCAGGGGAGGAGGGGAAGGCACGCTGAGGTCTTGGGGAGGGGGACAAGATGCCTCAGCATCAGCCAACTCCAGCTCCTCCAGGGTGCCCAGGAACAGGACAGAGGAGGAGGAGGAAAGCAAGGAGGAGGGGGAAAGGGATGCAACCTCCTCCTCCACCTCCACCTCCATCTCCTTCTCCTCCTCCACCTCCCCTCCCTCCTCCTCCCCCACCCAAATGAACTGTGCCTCCATTGGGCTCTCAGCCTCCCTTGGGTCCTGAAGGCTGGCCTCACTCTCCTCGTGGAGCTCGCGCATTCCAGGCATGATGACTGGGATCAAATCACAGACAGAAGTGAGGCAGGGGGACAGATGGGGACCACGAGCCTGGGGGAGAGAGGGGTTGTGCACGGCCTCGGCTGAGAAATCCACCCTGGGTGGTCTGACACAGGCCACTGACAGGTATCCTCTTGAGGGGTGCTCTCTGGCCTCACAAGGGTGCTCCTGCTGGGCAGGCTGTCTGTTGCTAACCCAAAGAAGGAAGTGAGGTGGCTCCCAGGGGTATAGTCAGCACAGTCCAAGGTCCTGGGGCTGATATGGCGGGGGAAATTTGGGCCTTGTGGAGTCCCGTCTGTTCTGGGATGGGAGCCCCCAGTGCACATTCAGGGCACCTACCTCACCTAGACTCCTGGCACTGCCTGGACCTCCTCTGCTCTGCAACCTGCGGACACAAGGACTTGTGCTTTCAACTCTGGGTTCCTGGAGCCCCTGTGAGAGGAAACAAGGGGGCACCTCAGCTGTAGACTGTGGCATGGCGCTGGGCCACTCGGTGCTGACTGGAGGACTGGGCTGTATTCGGTGAGGTTCCCCCTGTCCTGAGGTGAGTGGTTCCTCCCTGTGCTCACAAAAGGTCCTCCACTTCCTCCCGCCAGGGTCTGGGTCCTCCTGACTGTTGTCCTGAGGCAAAATTCTCAAGACAAATTCCCTGTACTGAAAGGGAGAAACAGGGGCCTTGAATACTGGTCATTCCTGCCCAGGGGCTAACAGGGCTCACAAGGGACAACAAGGGGTGGCCAAACTCTATGGAGTCCCTCTGTGCTGGGACGATGGGCAGTCGGCTCAGTGTCCACCTTGACACCCTGGAAGGCCTGGGGCAGTGCCCTTTGTTGACTGTGACCCATCTCCTTAAGCAACGGCCTTAACATTCATGACAATGGAAGTGAGGGCACCAATGCACACACCTCTTCTGGGCCACCCCAGGGTGACCAAAGGGGCAAGGCAGGCTGGCCTTCAAGTACTGTGTGTGAGGAGGGGTCTCCCCAGTGCTCCCCCTGACCTCTGTGAGGGCCTGAGGCCAGACCCTCAGAGGAAGGCCCCCTGGCATTGACCAACCATCTAGGTGAGCTGGTGGGCCTCAGGGCTCTGATGGTTTCTAGGGCTGGCAGGAGGGATTTCTGTGGCCCCCTCTTTGTGGTGGCGGTTGGGGTCCCCCACTCCTCCTCAGGATCCTCACCTTGACTCCTGGTGACTCAGGGGCTCCTCCTGCTGCTGAGCAGACATGCTCCCCAGATCGCTTCCCTGCAGTGTCCTCCCCCTCCAGATCCCCCTCCACATTAGGCGCACTCCTCCCCTTGCATTCCCCCCAACTCCACACGCAGGGCCCCTTCTCTTCTGGGGGAGGCTGCCTCCTCACTATGTCTGGGGGAGGCTGCCTCCTCACCATGTCCTCAGGACCTTCGGTTTGATTGCCGTGCAGCCTGGCCTGACCCATGCTGACGGATTCCCCCAGAAGCCTGAGCCTCCCAGAGCCTCCCAGAGCCTCCCATGAGCCCCCCCAGAGCCCTCTAAGCACCTTGGCAAGAAGAGAGTGCATCACCCCGGCCTCCCTGCTGGGCTCTGGCTGGGGTACAGCTGACGCCCTGCAGGTGGGTTCCCTTCTCTTTGAGCGAGGGACCCGGCAGTCCTCCCCAAGGGCGGGCTCAGGCCTTTCCCACCTGGGCTCACCCTGGAATCCCTTGGACTCAGGCTCCCTGAACCCCGAGGTGTTGCAGTTAGGGGGGAGTGTCTCCTAGTCCTATTCGGGGTCCTCCCTCACTGTCTGACAGAGCCCAGACCCCTTGCTCTGCCCACCTGCAGCCTCCTGGCTCCTCAATCCAGACCTTCAGGTGGTCCAAATGGAGAGGTTGCCCTCAGGGGGCTGCACTTGGAGCCAGACGCCCAGACTCCAGGGTAACAGCAGGGACGGAGCGGGGGCTGCTGGGTTCTGAAGTCCACGGGCCGACTCTCCCTCAGGGTCTCCAACTAACACCCCTGCAGGTCCTGGGTGGCCTGTCTTCATCCAGACAGCCCGCTCCTCACACCAGGGCCCCAGCCTCGCTAAGACCCGGATGCGGAAGTTGGGACACACCACATTTGCTCCTCTCACCTGGCAGTCTCCCACGCCTGGCGGCAGGGGCGTGTTTTGCTGGAGTCGCCTCTGTTCTGGGGCCCAGGGTCCCCTAAGTCCTCCCTCAGTGTCCTCACTTTCATTTTGGTCGCATGTAACCGCCCCTCCCTCGCCCACCTGAGTGCCCACCCCATTCCAGGTTCCCAGTCTCTCTGGGACCCAGATGAGGAAGTCAGCACAGGCTGCCACGTGCTTATCTCACTCCGCGGCCTCCCACAGCTGAGGGCAGGGCCAGTTTCTCTGGGACACTCCGCCCTCACCCACATTCTGGAGCCCAGGGTCCCCTCAGTACTTTCTCAGGGTTCTCACTTTCAGTCCCAGTAGTCCCTAGGCTTCTCATTAGCCCACCTGAGCCCCCACTCCCACCCCCATTGCATCAAGTCCTAGTCTGGCTGAGACCTAATGCGAAACTCAAGACACCCTGCCACGTACTCATCCACCTGGGTCCTCCCTGGCTTGACATCAGGGGTGGGCTTCTCTGGGATGTCCCACATTCCTACTGCCCCGCTTTTCCAGGCTCCAAGAACCCTTCACTGTTCCCTTTGCTCTTCATCTTGGCTCCCTTCAGGACCTGGGCTTGTCTCTCTGCCCACTTGAATTTTCTGCCCTGAGACCCAGGCCCTCCCCCTCTGGTCCCCTGAAGTGGAACCGAGGGGCCCATTCCGACGAGCCTGCTCAGGGTCTCCCAGGGAGGACTTGGATCCTGTGAGGTCTTAATCCTCCCTCAGGCTCCTCCCCCTGACTCTCCCATAGGGCCAGCGCCAGCTTCCTCTCTGAGGGACTGGACCCTCCTCCCAGACCCAGGCCCGCACTTTCTCAGACCTCTGAGGCAGACAGAAGTCGGGTGACATCACATGGGGACCCATGGCTTAGGGACTTCCGGGGCTGAGCTGGGAGTGGAGCTGGATTCTCTGGACCCCCTGGGAAGATGCACCCTCCCCAGAACCCACTCCTGAGGGTCCTCACTTGGGAGACCTTGAGGAAATGCTGCTGCAACAGCTCCCTCCGGGTCAGGTCTGCGCCTCTGTCCAGCTGCCCCATGAGCACAGAGAGACTCTGCATCCTAGACTGGAAGCTGGGTGGGGGGGGCGCAGCACCCCTGACTGTGGAGGTGGGTCCCAGAGGACGCATACCTTCCATTGTTGCCTCTCTGCCCGCAGCCAGACTTAGTTTGTTCTAAGATTCCTTCTCTGCATGGAAGAGGTTGAGCAGCAGGGTCTGGAGAGGTCTTTTGAATCAAGTTTTCTAACTTTTCATAGTTCAGAGCCCTGATTTTCACTCTCTTGAGCCGCATTCAGTCAGAAATATATTTCACATCTTGCCAAATTTCAGGAAAGAACATTCACTCTTACGCAGCCTGATTCACTCTGATGCTTACTGCTATTCTCTTATTTCTAGTCCAATCTTGATCTGCTATTTAAAGCGTACATTTCGGAAAGGCCAGTCCTCACCCTAAGGTGAGGTGATTTCAAGTGGCTATTAGCACAGACGCTGCAGCCCTGCTGGCTCAATCGTCCCATTCTTTGTGCTGTCCTGACCTTACCCTGTGGCTTCTGGCATCTGTGGCCTGAGACACTGTTTCCCAATTTACACAATGAAATAGGGGCAGAAGATTAAACTTTCCTGTTACTCATCCTGTCACCTGCTTCTATGCAGGCTACAGCTATATAGTTATTCAATTTAGTTCAGTTCAGTCACTCAGTCATGTCCAACTCTTTGCGACCCCATGGACTGCAGCATGCCAGGCTTCCCTGTGCGTCACCAACTCCTGGAGCTTGCTCAAACTCATGTCCATCGAGTCAGTGATACTTCCAGTCATCTCATCCTCTGTCGTCCCCTTCTCCTCCCTCCTTCAATCTTTCCCAGCATCATGGTCTTTTCCAATGAATCAGTTATTTCCATCCAGTGAGCAAAGTATTGGAGTTTCAGCATCAGCTTCAGTCCTTCCAATAAATATTCAGGACTGATTTCCTTTAAGATTGACTGGTTGGATCTCCTTGCTGTCCAAGGGGCTCTCAAGAGTCTTCTCCAACACCAGAGTTCAAAAGCATTAATTCTTTGATGGTCAGCTTTCTTTATAGTCCAGCTCTCACATCCATACATGACTACTGGAAAAACCATAGTTTTGACTAGATGGACATTTTTCAGCAAAGTAATATCTGCTTTTTAATATACTGTCTAGGTTGGTCATAACTTTTCTTCCAAGGAGCAAGTGTCTTTTAATTTCATGGCTGCAGTCACCATCTGCTGTGATTCTGGAATCCCCAAAATAAAGTCTCTCAAAGTTTCCCATGTTTCCCATTATATTTGCCATGAAATGATGGGAGTGGATGCCATGATCTTAGTTTTTTGAATGTTGAGTGTTAAGCCAACTTTTTCACTCTCCTCTTTCACTTTCATCAGAGGCTCTTTAGTTCTTCTTCGCTTCCTGTTATAAGGGTGTCATCTGCATATCTGAGGTTATTGATATTTCTCCTGGCAATCTTGACTCCAGATACATTTTACTTCATTCATTCTCCCTTCTTAGTTTCTCAGTATTTCTTTTGGGAACAGTAGACAGAAGCTCAAGGTTGACTATCTTCTTGGTAGGTAAATTTATAGCACTAATCCTGTAAATCTATACAAAAGGAGAAATGATATTGTCCCAGTATTCTGTTTCCCATCATTGGATACGCTCTATTGCTCTATTTATTTGGCAATTCTTGAACCTGAGTCTACCAGTAAGCTTGTGTGCTGCTGCTCCTGCTGCTGCTAAGTCACTTCAGTTGTGTCCGACTCTGTGTGACCCCATAGATGGCAGCCCACCAGGCTCCACTGTCCTTGGTATTCTCCAGGCAAAAACACTGGAGTGGGCTGCCATTTCCTTTTCCAATGCATGAAAGTGGAAAGTAAAAATGAAGTCGCTCAGTTGTGTCCGACTCTTTGTGACCCCATGGACTGCAGCCTACCAGGATCTTCTGCCCATGGGATTTTCCAGGCAAGAGTACTGGAGCGGGTTGCAATTGCATTCTCTGTAAGCTTGTGTAATGCCTCCTAAAGACCTTGCCTACATATTTGTTAGGATTCTTTTTAGATAACTTTTGTAATTTACTGCCATTTTAAAATGAGGCATTTTCTATTACATGTTCTACATGGTTATTGCTCTTGCAGGGCAAAGCACTTAATTTACCTGTGGTAATATTCCACCCCCTATTTTTCTGAAGTTTCTTATTCATTTGACTATTCTAGGTCCTCATTCCTTTGAATTTGCTAGATAGATGATCTTGCTGCAGTATGAAATAGTAACTTTTTTCAGCATGCGTATTTCTTAGACAGGATAGATAACATACTTCTAGGACTTGTCCCTAGCAAGAACGCTTCTAACATTTCACATTGCTGTATGTTTATATAAGTGCATATATGTATAAATATACATGATTTATGCATGCTGCATGTTTATATATGTACACACACATATGTGTGCATACAGTTATGTATTTATAGTTATTTTAAGTTGCTGATTTATTAAATTCAAATGCATTTTAACAACACTGCATTGTACTCTCTGCCCCATGTTTAACAGTTTGGCCATCATATGTCCTTTTGCTTTGTGTATCCCTCATTTACTTTTTGTGGATATAGATGATTTTCCTTTTATCATTTGTTCTTCCTCCATGCTTATATGTGGTTGATTATGATTTTCACTGTTCATTTGGTTTTTTCAATGAGATTTTCCTTCATAATTTTCATAGCTGTAGTTGTGGCTTGTTCTTTTCAACTTTGAGAAGTTCTGTTAAAATTTCTTGTAAAGCTTGTTTCATGGTGCTGTTGACTAAAAAAGATGTACAACTTGAGAGTTGTGAGTTAAGTTTTATTTGGGGCAAAATGAGGACTGAAGCCCAGGAGGCAGCATCTCAGATAGCTCTGAGAGACTGCTCCAAAGTGGCAGTGGGGGAAAGTCAGTATATAAGGTTTTGGTGAAGGAGTTCAGTGCCATGAAGCAGTCATTTTACAAAAGGTTTTTGTTAGTCGTGAGGATCTGATGTCACCATGAATGGATTTAGTGCTTCTCTAGATATGAGGAGATGCAAGGATTGAGATCATAAAATCTGTTCCTAAAAACATCCAACCATCT